GATTCAGCCAGTTCGCACCACTTCGGGAGAACCGGTTATTAAATTATTTGAATCCCACCACTGGGTCCAGATTTATATTGTAACTGAAATCCTTAGCCCAGGTCACCATAATTTATTTTACCTGTTCTTCATGCATTTTATAGTCCAGTAAGTATGTATAAATTCTCCTTATTTGTTTGTCTTCTGGCCCTAACAGAATTTTATCCAATACCAAATCATGCATATTAATTCCCCATTCTTTCTTATCTTTACCATGCCTTGATTGAATTTGAAGATAGGCCTACCATTCCAAGTCTACCCCTTGTTGTTTTAACTCCTGTCTAGGCTTCAATTGCCTCTCATCATTTAAGATATCTTTATAGGTAATAGCTTTTTCCTGATTGTACAAGTTTGGGTAGACTATTGCTTCTAGAGTAGATATCCAGGCAGGCATTTCCATATAATTTTGAGTTTTAATTTTGTTCCATATTAGATAGATAGCTTGCCTAATTTTATGCCTTAGGAAATAATGTATGGCTGCCATACCACAGAAACGTGTGCCAGCCCTGCTGTAGATCACGGCCCTCTAATTGTAATATTCTTCTGTCTTTTCAGTTTATCCAATCCTTAATCTGGGTAAGTGCAGCTGCCTGATAGCGTAGTTCCCATTCTGGGAGTCCAAATCCTCCTCTTTCTTTTCCTTCCTGTAATAACTTTAATTTAATCCTGGGTCTCTTCCCTTGCCATACGAAGTTTATCGTCAATTTATTCAAATCTCCAAAGAATTTTTGGCCCAATTTAACAGGTATGTTTTGAAACAAGAAGAGCACTTTTGGTGGTATGGTCATCTTGATTGCTGATATTCTTTCTAGTAAAGAGAATCTTAAATTGCTCCATCTTTCCAGGCCTTCTTTTGATTGCTTCAGCAATTTGTCGTAATTATCTTCTTTGATTGTAATGCATCTCGCTGATATCTAAGATATCCAAGATATCTTATGTTTTTTTACTATTTGGATGTCCATCTTCTTAGCCAAATATCCTGTCTGTTTATTAGTCATATTCTTAACAATCGTTTTAGTCTTGCCTTTATTAATTTTTAAACCAGCGTTTTAGTCTTGCCTTTATTAATTTTTAAACCAGCAGCATCGCCAGACTCTTCAAGTATCTCTAAAAGTTTCAGGCCAGTTTGTTCTGGATCTTCCATAATAAACACCAGATCATTGGCAAAGGCTTGAAGTTTAAAGGTCTCTTTTTTAACTTCTAAGCCTTTTATCTGCGGATTTTGCCAAACTGTCCTTGTTAGCACTTCCAATGTGAATATAAATAGTGGGTTAATATAAATAGTGGGCAGCAGGCATCTTTGTCTCCTTTCTGTATATTGAAATTTTTTGTCGCTTCTCCATTTATTAATATTTTGCTTTCCTGTTTAGTATATAACGTTGTGATGGTATTTTAAAAGTTTTAGCCAAAGTCCATATATCTAAGTTGTTGTTGTAATAAAAATAGCCATTTAATGTTATCAAAAGCTTTTTGGGCATCTAAAAAAAGAAATGCCACTTGTTGTCCGCTATGAACTTCATAAAATTCTTGGATATCTAATATTGTTCTTATATTGTGTTTAATTTGTCTTGTAGGCAAGATGCCATTTTGATCTCTATGAATGAATTTGTTTAAAAATCTTTTTAGCCTCTCAGCTATGATTGTTGCAAATAGTCTGCGTTCAAAAGAGATATCAGTCTATAATTTTTAATCAGTGATGGACCCGAATTTTCTTTGTGTATCAATATAATATTAGCTTCAGTTCACAATCATGGATTTTTTGCTTATTCTAAAACTGCATTGAAGACTTCTAATAATGGTTGGCCCAGAATGTTTTGTTGATCTTTATATAGTTCAGACAGGATGCCGTCTGGGCTTGAGGCTTTGCTGTTTTTTTGTTTATTGATTGCCTTGATAATTTCTGTCATTTTGATTTCCTCATTCAACATAATTTTTGTCTCATGTAATTTGGGTGGATCTGCTTTCTTTAAACATGCCAATATTTTCTCTTCTATATGCCCATCATTTTCATTATATATTTGCTCATAGAACGTCTGAGCGATATTTTTCCTTGCATCTTCCTGATAGCACATCCTTCCATCTTCATCCCATGATCCATCATTTCCCCCTTAATCTCTTCAGTTTATGTGCTACCATCACCCTGGTTTATTTGCATTTTTGAAAAAATTCTGTTTTTTCTGTTTTAATTGTTGAGCTAGAGCTTCTTTTTAAAGAAGATAAAGTTTGTGTTTGATTATATTCATTTGATTTTTAATGCTTTTATTTTGTGGTTCTTTCTGTAGTGCTATCTCCAGACTTTTAAAATCATCTTCTAGAGTTTTCTGTAATTGTTTCTTCTCCTTGTTTTTCTTTGCCATGTATGATATTACCACTCCTCTTATATATGCCTTTGCTGTGTCCCAGAGATTTTGAAGGGATTTATCCTCTTGTTCATTCTCTTTAAAAAAGAAGCCTAATTCTTTCTCCAACTTTAGCCTAAAATCCTTATCCTTTAAGATTGATCATTGAAATGTTCATCTTGATGTTCTCTTATGCTCTTTCCAGCAGAGTTTCATGGGGTTGTGGTCCGGCCAAAGGTTCATCTCAATATCTACTACTTTTTTTAATGATACGGCGACCACCGAGATCTACACTATGTCTATCCTGGACCACGACTTGTGCCTGTTTGAGTACCATGTACATTTACTTTTCTCCCTATTCCTCTCTCTCCAAGCCTCCTGTATACTTAGGTTTTTGGCCATTTCAAAAGAAGTTCTTGGTAAAATTCTTCTATTTCCTTTTCTCGTGTCATTACATTTTTTGTCAACGATAGCATTAAAGTCTCCTATAATACAAATCTCATCATATTCTATGGCTTGAATTATATTATGTAAACTTTTACAGAATTGTTTTTGGGCTCCATTGGGTGCATAAATTTCAGCTGAAGTCCACACATCTTAAAGTCACCAAGATTGAGAAATACTGGTTGGGGGAGGGGGCAGGATAATGTCTTCAATCTTTCCTTAGCTAGTCTTTCTCAATTTGAAAAGCTCCACTCATCTAGGGTACCGATACCCAGGGTTCCATAGCCAAGATGTCCAAAGGCATACTGGAAATTATAATAATAGTAAATCGGAGTACATGAGTTGTGGGGTGGAAGGTCATTCTCTGAGCTTGTGGGCTGGTTTCCATCTTCAGTGGAATTTAGGGGGTGTCAGTGTCAGTATTGTGCTTATAAGGTTTCCATGTTGTCAGCAGGTATTGTGATGGTGAGGTCATGTCAGGTCAGGTTCTAGTGATGGGTCCTGTGATGGGTCAGGTGTGAGTCAAAAAATTGGTGGTCTTGTGATGGATGGGTAAGGATCACAAGATTCATCATAAGACCTTGGCCAATGGCTTAATATATTTTGAATAGAGTTGGAGCAAATCCAACCTACCAGCGGTAAAAAAATTGTACCAAAAAGGACATGAATGTGTGCCAATTGAGAAATGTGGAAACCCCAAACCAGAGGAGGGCAGAACAGAATGAAAGAAGGTTCACCAGGAATAATCCATGCCACATTATGTTTTACGGGCCTTGCTTGAGTCTTCTGAGGAAAGGTTCAGTCCATTTCCTGAGGGGCTACTTGCCTCCAGTCCCAGCAAACAGCACAAGCAAGACAGGATAGAAGAAGCCAAAAGACAAGGTGAGTATATATTCATGGGAAATGGCTGACAAAAGGAAGACGATGAGCATAGCTCCATCTCGGGCTCTCTCTCCAATCAGCTGGAAGAGAAGGAGCACAGGTGAATCATAGACTTCATCTTGGTGATCACCAATAAACAATTAGGACAGGCACAGAGAAATTACATGCAACAGGTTTACTCTATGGGGCAATATAGGGTGGGTTTGGCAAGCATGTCAGACTTTTCAGGTGCTCCACACAGTAAACCAATCCAAATAATAGTACTTTTATTATAAGGTTACAGAGACAGAATCTGGCAAGTCTGAAACACCCCCCCTCCCAGCCTTTATTTTCTGAACAACAAGGGAGAATCTCTTCTGAGATGTTATTCTACCCCCATTCCTGCTCTGAGATGAGACATCTCCTCTTGATCATTGCCCTGGCTGCAGTTCTGCCCCCAAAGATTATTCTCACAGCCCATTATAGCCTTACCTTCCCACAGAAAATCTTGATAAATATAGTAGTACAACCAATCGTGTACAATCACATTCCATGACCGAAAGAATGTCGAGAATGCTGTGGAATTCCACCAGTCCTAGGCAGGAAGAATGAAATAAAGAGCATGAAAAACACAGAAATGCCAGGCTTGAAACTGGAACATCAATGTATTTTGGCCAGCAAAGAGACAATCCCCTCTAAATTTCCTGTGTACGGGTAGTCCTTGAGTTACAAGGGCAATTGGGATTAGAATGTCCATCACTAAGTCAGTGGGGAAACCAGTGGGAAATTGCAACTCTCAAACAGGCAGGTAAGTGCCTATTGTCAGGTATGAGAGAGCAAGGAGGCGTCCTGGGTGTTATGGTGAGATTAAGGGTCGGGGAGGGTCAAGGGGGGCATGAAAAGTTAGATTTCAGCTGTGGGGAGGGAAGGAATGAACCATCACGTGGGATCTTGCAAAGTCTTTCAGAACACGTTATTTGATTTCGTATACTCCCTAAACATACATGTTTCTACAGGAGCCTTCATTTAATGAAAATTGGGAGCAGCAATAAAGTTATTAAGTGGTCATTAAGTGAAACAGTTATGTTATTTATTTGCCAAATTTATTTATTGTCGAATTTACATAGCTGCCGATCTCACCTAAAGTGACTCCAGTGCCATATGATACTAGCAAAAATTAAAATATTTTACCAGCCCATTAAAACAATTAGTATGGATAAAACATGCTTGCAATCTTAGTTCTATTTGTTTTGCTTTACAGACCTGCAGAGGTTGTAAATGTGAGGATTGATCATAACTTTATTATCATAGTTGTAACTGCAACCAATTGCTAAATCAAAATTAGGCATGCACGCCCCTAACTACCTCAACTCCAACTCCAACTGGCCTTAAATGCAAGCTACTCAATGCAAGAAGCCTTGTGAATAAAATACCTGATTTTCTCCTCTTACTAAATATGGCTAAATTCGACATCATATTTGTCTGTGAAACATGGCTCAACGCATCTCTCCCTGACTCCATTACCACAGTAAGAGATTATCATGCTTACCGATCAGATCGTGAAATCCGTAGAGGAGGTGGTGTTGCTATTTTCTATAAAAAGTCCTTACATCTAAAAAACATCCAAGTTACTCAAGAGCTTTCTCTTTTTGAGACCATCGTCTGTGAACTGTCCTTAAATATCACATTTCGATTCTTCCTATGTTACAGAGCCTGATTATGACATTGAACACGTAAACAAGATAAATTCACTACTAACATGGGCAACATCCTGCCCACACACTTTTATCTTTTTTGGTGACTTCAATCTACCTCACATTAACTGGACCCTAAACGAATGTAAAACTGAACCCATATATCATACATGATATTCTTCCAATTAAAATCGGAATTCCAATTTTTCATCGCGCCCCCCCCCGCCACCCTTCCCCTCCTTCCTCTCCCCTCGGAGGCCCCCTGAGTCAGGAGCAGGGAAGCAGCTGCCCAGCTCCGGAGCTGATCCACACCACTGGCTGGAAAGGAAGGGTGTTGGTGTGTGTGTGTGCGATTTCTTGGCGCGCGGCGCTGTGTCTCTTTTGGCTGGCCCCGAAAGAGCGCGCGTGGGGCAGGTGGTGGAGATGCGGGAGCGAATGCGAGAAGGAAGCGAACCTCGTTGCAAAGTGGGTTTGAACGCTCGTTGCACTCCAGAGGCTTGGAATTAGTCCGGGTTTGGGGAGGGGGAGAACGGAGAAAGGCGAGGCTGGGCTGCTCCAGGAGAAGGCGGAAGGCGCCCTGGGATTTGAGCCGCTCGCAGCGGAAACCACCCTTAGCCCGACGCAGGGAGAACGAGCGAGGTTAGCGCCCGCCAGCCCGTCCTTCCCGCCTCCGCGGCTCGGTTTCTCCTACCGGTGGGTCCTCCTTTCGTGCGGAGGGCTGCGGGGGAAGGCGCTCGCCTGAGAGGATCTCTCCCTCTCTCTCCCTGCAAGGTCAACGTCTGCGCTGCGGAGGAGAGGACAGGAGGTTCCTCCTGCTTGCTGAGAGGTGAGGAAGCTGCGGCTCGCCCGGCGAGATTTGGGAACGAGGGGCAGGAGGAGGCACGCACACACCCGCGGCTCACTTTCCCAGCTCTGCCCAGCCCTCGCAACTCTGCCGCGGCCCTGGCAAGATGAGCGGAGGGTCCGCCGGGGAGGCGCTCACTGCCCGCCGGGGCCGCGCCAGAGCCACGAGGGCTGGGCAGAGCTGGGAAAGTGAGCTGCAGGTGTGTGCGTGCCTCCTCCTGCCCCTCGTTCCCAAATCTCGCCAGGCGAGCCGCGGCTTCCTCACCTCACAGCAAGCAGGAGGAACCTCCTGCCCTCTCCTCTGCAGCGCAGACGTTGACCTTGCAGGGAGAGAGAGGGAGAGATCCTCTCAGGCGAGCGCCTTCCCCCGCAGCCCTCCGCACGAAAGGAGGACCCGCCGGTAGGGGAAACCGACGTGCATCAGAGCAACCCCACGGTCCTCCATGAATCGAGAAGGGGCTTTAAAGAAAAACCTCTGGAGGTCCAATCTTGCAGCAAAGAGGGCCAATCTGGAACTGAAGAGGAAGACAACTGTAGCTAAAAGACAGGCCAGACTCAAAGTTATGCTATCAGCTCAACTAGCTAGAAAGAAGCATAGAGAAGCAATGCTGATCAAAGGAAAGGGAACAAAGAAAAAGTCCAATTAGATATGAAGCATTGTGGCTGTTTTTCTGTCTGTTAAGCAGGGTTTGTTTGTTGTGTTTGTTTGTTTGTTTTATTTTTTAAATGTGAAATCCTTTGCCGGAGAGCATTCTCATGGTGCTTTTTATTATTATTTTTTGTCAATTAATAAAACTATCATGCAGACTCACCTTGAAAAATCACTTTTGATTACTTTACTCTGCTAAAGCTTAAAGGGGGCGTTGGCAATTTAATTCCCACCGGGGCTCTGCGCGGTCCGCGGCGGGTGCTTAGGTAACCCCTGCATCCCTGGCTACTTTTCAGATTTTTTTTTCGGAGGGGAATATCATGCCTGATATATGCAACCTTCTACAATGCTGTAACAAACCTGGGACTGGAACAACTAGTAAACAACAATACTAGACTTAACAAGTGCCTCGATCTCATCTTCTGCAATAGTTTGAATTCAATTTACGGAATACAAATTAAAGAACCCTTTTCCAACAGTGACCACAATATGATTGACTTTTGTCTCAACATATGTCCACACAAAAATCAACACAACAATGTGATCCCCAATTATAACTTCAAAAAAGGCAACTATGATCTTATAGACAACGATCTCTCATCCCTTGATTGGCAATTTCTATTCACTGGATGCAATACTGTTGAAGACCATTACAACATATTTTTACTTGAAGTCAAAAGAGTCATCAAACTATATGTACATATAACAACTCCAAAAACCAGAAAAAACAGATTACCCATAACAATAAGGAAGCTTCAATCCAAAAAGAGATCACTTTGGCGGAAAAACAAATCTGGTCACGTTGCCAACTTCAAAAGCTGATACAAAAATATATGCCACCAGATAAAGACTGAAGGCACCAATGATCACATTAAACAAGAGGAAAGCCTTCTACGCCCCAATTCCACCCGCGCTTTCTACAATTTTGTGAACAACAAACTAAAAGACTCAAGGTCCATCCCACCCCTGAAAGGACCTAATGGTAAAGACTGCAATGATGACACCATTAAAGCCAACCTCTTTAACACATTCTTTGGCTCAGTATTGGTAAACAGCAATGGATCATGCCCAGTATTTCCTAGTCGAACCACAGATAACTACAATGATCTAATACATATCGATTTTACAGAAGACAATGTTGAAAAAGTAGTACGCAATCTAAAACCATCTCTATCTATTGGACCAGACGGAATATGTGCCTACTTCTTAAAAAAGCTATCCACTGCTATAGCCGAACCTCTAAGCTTAATCTTTGAAAAATCTTTCAGGACCAGCTCCTTGCCAAAACTTTGGTCACAAGGCACGGTCATCCCCATCTTCAAAAAGGGAGACCCCAGCCTAGTTGAAAATCACAGACCAATCTCTTTATGCTGCATCACCTGTAAAGTCATGGAATCAATTTTTAACCAATCCATTATCCTCCACTTAGAGACAAACAACCTACTCTCTAATAAACAATTTGGTTTCAGAAAAAAACTATCCTGCAATCTGCAACTCTTACACTGCAAAAACATATGGACTACACAACTCGATCAGGGCAAAGCAATAGATGCAATCTACATAGACTTCTGTAAAGCCTTTGATTCAGTGGTACATGACAAACTACTCCTAAAACTAAAATCTTATGATATCTCTGGACACTTGCATAACTGGATAGAAGCATTCCTGTCAAACAGACAACAAATGGTCCAAATTGGGAGCGTACTATCAAACTCTGTACCTGTCAACAGTGGTGTCCCCCAAGGCAGTGTTCTAGGACCAACTCTCTTCATACTCTACATCAGGGGTGTCCAACCTTGGCAACTTTAAGACTTGTGGCTGAGGAATTCTGGGAGTTGAAGTCCACAAGTCTTAAAGTTGCCAAGGTTGGACACCCCTGCTCTACATAAATGACCTCTGTGATCATATTAAGAGCAACTGCATCCTCTTCGCTGATGATGTAAAGCTATTTAATACCACAGACAATACTGCTACCCTTCAAAAAGACCTCAACTATGTATCAGAATGGTCAAACAAATGGCAACTTCAAATCTTAACAAACAAATGCTCTGTCTTACATATTGGCAAAAAAATAATAATCAGAAAATAAAATACAGGCTGAATAGTCAAGACCTTGCTGATGATCTAAACTCTGTCAAGGACCTTGGAGTACTCATCTCTAATGATCTAAGTGCTAGAGCCCACTGTAACTACATAGCCAAAAAGGCATTAAGAGTTGTTAACCTAATCTTATGTAACTTTTTCTCTGGTAATATTACACTAATAACTAGAGCGTACAAAACATTTCTTAGACCAATACTCGAATACAGCTCATCAGTCTGGAACCCGCATTGCATATCTGATATTAACACAGTTGCGAAAGTCCAGGAATATTTCACAAGAAGAGTTCTCCACTCCTCTACTCGTTGCAGAATACCTTATGCCACCAGACTTGAAATTCTAGACCTAGAAAACCTAGAACTATGCCACCTTCGCTCCGATCTAAGTATAGTATATAAAATCATACATTGCAATATCCTACCTGTCAATGAATACTTCAGCTTCAACCATATCAATACAAGAGCAAACAATAGATACAAACTCAAGGTTAATCGCACCAAACTAGATTGCAGGAAATACGACTTCAGCAACAGAGTGATCAATGTCTGGAATACTCTACCTGACTCTGTGGTTTCTTCCCCAAACCCCAAAAACTTTAACCTTAAACTTTCTACTATTGACCTCACCCCTTTCCTAAGAGGTCTGTAGGGGGTGTGTATAAGCGCACCAACGTGCCTACCATCCCTGTCCTATTGTTTCTTTTATTTTTCTTATATGTATCCATGTATTCATAACTATGTTTTTACTTATACCTATTATCTTGTAAGCAATTGACAAACCAAATAAAATAAAAAATAAAATAAATAAATATTTATTACTTTGATTACAAGCAATCGGATACTTCAGTGTCAACTTCTTCAATGTAGTTGTTTTACCAAGTTGAAATTTGCTTTACTTTCAGAGCCATAACATCTCAGAACTCTTTTTAAAGTTTTTCTAACTATTCTTCATGGCCAATGGACGATTCAAGTATATCCAGACTCCTCATATCTTTCTTGCAACCTCCTCCCCCTCCCCCTTGTTATCACCTTGTAGAAAGAACGGTCTGCAAAGCGCAGGATCTCAGCAAATATGTTATGCCAGCAGTCCAGGAAGAAATAGAAGACCACGAATAAAATAGATATCACTGAATGAGAGAGGTAAAGAAATACATTAGTTCTTCCCACTTTTGGGAGAGAGAAGAGATTTTAAAAACTGAGTTATTGTTACAGATTTAAGGCAGACTATTGTAAATCAAGTTAGACTTTTAGGCTAGTATCCTAAATGGAATGTCTATAGAGATTCTCAATCATCTAGGTCATTATTGTCTCAAAGGTGCTTTACAAAAGGCAATTTGACTTTCTTGTTTTTTTCCTTGAAAATGTTTCACTTCTCATCCAAGAAGCTTCTTCAGTTCTGAAAATGAACTGAAGAAGCATTTTGGATGAGAAATTAAAGTTTCCGAGTGGAAGAAGAACAAAATGGCCTTACCACTTAATCCCATTACAGAAATTGTTTCCACATACCGGGCATTACTGAATCAAAGATGGAGAGCAGCTGGATTTTGATGGTGAAGGGTTGCTTATGCATGTTGCTGAAGTTAGAGATGAAATAGTATTTCATGAGGAAATTCACAAAGTATATACATGCCAGGAACTGTGGGACAGAGAGAAAAAACTCTACCTTAGTGATCTACCGACATCTCAGGGTCCTGGCAAGACATACTGGTTGCCAGCTCTCGGCTATGATTAAGAAAAACCTTCTTCTGGTCTATGATCTCAGAAGCTGGATTTGGCTGCCATTTTAACATCCTACAGTACAATGCCCAAATGCTGTCTTCCAACACCAGCCCTTCTTCAGTTTAGTTTTAGTCAATCTGTCACAGATTTCTGCACCACTCACTCCCATCAACTCTGCTCTCTTTCAAACCCCTTTTTCCTTTTGTTTTCCTATGGGAGATATTTGAAAATATGTACATTGCGTCTAAAGTTTTAAATTGAACATTTCTTAGGGAAGTGACCTTTTTTGCATCAAAGATGACTCAGAACAAATGTTATATCTCATTCACTCAAGGCTAGAGAACTCTGGGAAACTTAAATGGTGGCCTTTGGTCACTCAGGGCTACTTAAACAATTACTGCTATTTACTACTTTGGCTGGCTAAGACACATTAGGGTTCCGGTCCATCTAAGATTTATGGGAAAATCCAACAGTCTCCAGGCACATTTCTAATCCAGAGAGGCCTAATAAAACCAACCAGCCAATGGAAACTTAATGTGTTTCTCTCACCTCA